CCGCCTGTAGCAAGCGTTACTTCACCTGCAAGCCCAACCACGGGTCCTTTGTCCCGATCGAGCGGGTTACCTTTGTTCTGTCGGCCAAGTCCGTCGGTGCGTCTGGTGGACACCCCTCTCGCCGCTTTCCCTTTGTGGTGTCGTCGTCAGCGTGCCCCCCCTGCTCTGCTCCGAATGGCACAGACCTTCTTACTTCCCACCGCCCCCCCCCCCCCTCCCCCCCGGTCCGTGCGCTCGCCAGCTCTTGAGGCCGCCCGCCAGACCAAGCCCTCCGCCTCCAGCCCGACTGCCTCCTCACCACCGAGCCGCCAGTCTCTCGTTGGTACATACCTCCCCCATCCCCCCACCCCTTTCCTCCGATCCCCTCCCCGAGCGCCCAATCTAACTGGTTGGGCCCACCAGCGGAGCACCGCCGCCTCTCTGCCCAACACCGCTCCATCCGAGAGTCTCTATCCAGCCTGTCTCCTCCTGCTGCCGCCGCCGAAGCTGACCGTCGCCTGCCGCTGCCGCCGCCGCCGCCGCCGCCGCCGTCTCTGCTCCATCACCCCTCGCCCCCCGCCTCGCCTGGCCTCCTGGGCATAGGCTCCGCCAGTGGTGCCGCGGCTCCCCGGCGCGGGGCAGCGGCCCCTGCCGACGACACTGAGGTTCGCCAGCTCCGGGCCGAGCTGGCGCGCATTTCCGCCGCGCGTGATGCCCTTGAGGCCGAAATTGCGGCCCTCCGTCAGCTGGAGCAGCCGCCCGCCGATGCCCCCGGCGCCGGCCAGGACACCGAGGCCCTCAAGCGCCGGATCGAGCAGCTCGAGGGTGAATGCCAGCGCCTGAAACAGGCCCGGCCCTCCCCGGCCGAGGAGGGTGCCGCCGCATCCCCGGCCCCCGGGCCCGACCCTGAGGTCGAGGAGCTGCGCGCCCGTGTGGCCCAGCTCGAAGCCGAAGCCACCGCGGCCAGCGATCTCCACGACACCCTGGTCAAGAAGGAGGCCGACTTCCAGGACATCCTGGCCAAGAAGGAGGCCGACCAGGCAGCCCTGGATGCCCAGCTGGAGGCCGTCACCGCCGAGCACGCGGCCCGTGTGGCCAAGCTGGAGGCCGAAGCCGCCAGCCATGCGGCTCGTGCGGCCGAGCTGGA